AAAAATATGTATATATTAAAAGTTAAGGGATTAAAAATTATCATTTTAAACTTATTTTTAATTTATAAGAATATAATAGTTTTAAATATTAGTATCTCTTATTTTATTTTAAAATTTGATATTTAATTTGTAAAAATATATATTTATAGCGATAAATCCGAAACAGTACGTGAAAAATTTCGGTATCCAGTACGTACCGTTCCAATAACAAAACCGGTATGCATGCCGGTACGGTATTGATTACTTTGGTACGTATGCCATCAACTTACAGTTACTTTTTAATGTTTCATTTTAATATTATTTGTCACACCCTGACCAACAGATTAAGGCATGACAAATGCTACATATTTATGGGATGATCCCATAAATATGTAAGATTATTTAACCTATATATCATGACAATCTCCCATAAAGATTTAATATAACCTTCCAACTTTCAAGTAAACAATTTTGGTGAAAAGGGTATTTGAACCTATGTACTTTTTGATATTGTTGAGATTAACCCCGTCACTTTTTTCTGTAATATTTGAACCCCATCACTTATATATTGAAATAAACTAATACACTTACTTTTCGGTTGAAATAAATTAGTCAAAATCTAACGTATGACGTCATGAAATGTTAGTTTACCATGAAACCCATTTTTCTACCGTTAATACATTGCTGACTTGGTGCATATGGGATTCGATTTTGTGACATGGGTTGATGTGGATTATTTTTTTTTATGACATGACCCCTTTTATTTCCCCAAAAACTCACCCACTCCAAAACTCCCACCATTCATCGAAATTATTTGGAATGAGGAACGACTTTAAGTTTAGGGTTTTCTTTAGGGCCAATTAAGGGAAAAATATAAAGCAAGTTGCTTCCATTAAACAAACCAAAAGGCAATCAAATCAAAAGGAAGGAAGAGGAAGTAGTTCAACTCTCATTGTTGGCACCATTTTCATTACTTTCGACTTCCTCACCAACAAATCCGGCGACACTAAACAACAAAAGTAGTCAGACTTGCCGCATTGTCTCGCCAAATCTCCCTTTGTTCTTCAAAGGCTCAAATCTATCAATTTTTGCAATTACAAATCTCAAGAATCTATTATTGGATTTGAAAAATCTCATCACCTAGATGTCGATTCCCAATATTTCTCTTTTCAGTAGACCCCAGAGTCGAAGCAGAAACCACAAGCTTTCCGACATAGATCTCCGTTTATGTTGCAAAGGCTCAAGTCGATTAACTTCTCCAATTACTTATCTCAAGAACCCACCTCTGATTTCTCGAAAAAAAACCCCAAAATCTGATACCCATTACTCACCGGAGCAAATCCACAAGCAAGACCAACCCCAAATTGAAGAAGAAGAAAAAGAAGTAGTGGAAGAGAAACAGCAAATCAAAGAAGAAGAACAAACACTAGACAAGGTATGCAGTAAGCCGAAGGAAGCCGACATCACAAGGACCAAATCCGACACCAAACTCGCATCCAATGAAATACCCACAAAACTACCTCGGAAGATGGATAAATCAACAAGCGCAAAGTCACTGTGAGGAAGATGACATCATCAAGAGTCGTCTTCCTCTTCCTCTTCCTCTTCCTTCCTTTTGCTTTGATTGCCTTTTGCTTTGTTTTTGGGGAAATAAAAGGGGCCATGTCAGCAAATCAGGGCCATGTCATCAAAAGAGTAGTCCATATCTAACCATGTCACAAAATTGGGTCTCACATGCACCAAGTCAGTAATGTATTAACAACAGAAAAATGAGTTTCACGATAAACTGATGTTTCATGACGCCATACGTTAGGTTTTAGCTAATTTATTTGAACCGAAAAATAAGTGTGTTAATTTATTCAAATATATAAGTGATGGGTTTCAAAAATTGCAAAAATAAGTTACTGGGTTAATCTTAACAATATTGAAAAGTACATGGGTTAAACTTAAAATACCCTTTTCGCTTAAACAATTCCAATAACAAAACTTAATAGTCTCCAAAAATAGAGCTCAAACCTCTTAACCGAAAAACATAAAGTGAATAACAACTTATTCTTTAAAACCAAATAAACTTCCAATTGAGCTATATCTAAACTCTTGCCAATCTATTTTCATGATCTCTCAATCCTCATGCAAAATCCAATGCTCATACTTCTTCACTTAAAATGAAATGAAATTTGAAAATGTGAGTTTAAGAACTCAATAAATAGAATACCAATTGAGCACAACCAAGCATGAAAATTTATAAACTTAATGTTATTATAAGATAAACAATAAAAGCACATTTCCTTCCTCAAAACCAAAGTATTTCAATCTTTTTGTTCTTCAGGATTGTAAAACAATCCACAATCCACGATACACAATTCATATTCCATAATACACAACCCACAATACAAAATCCATAGATCTCGAGTCTATCACAATACCAACAATTCAACCCTTATAAGGGTTAACCATACAGTCAGGACAAAGCAAAAACCATTCCAAATAAAACCATTCAATTTTAAAGATGGAAATCAATTCTAAATTAGCCTTCACCACACGGCACAATCTCATCTCAAAATTAAAATAAAACAGCATGCTTGATCCACAAATCATCTAATTTCATAATAAAAACATTTTATCAAAAATTATTCTCTAAAAAAAAATTAGGACTGGACAAAACTCTTTTAAGTAAGTCAATGTACTTAGAAAAAAAAAAAAAAAAAACACTAGAGGGTATAGCAACTTACCTAAATAATTATCTTTCGAAATGCAAATGTCACGCCCTAAAACCAGGAGTGAAATAGACGTTGTACACTTGTGAGAGGTTCCCACAAATGCACAAGGCTCGGAACTTACTTAATTCATATCTAGCAGCCCATTAACTAAGAACCAAATCTCAAAATAAAATCTCATTTTTATAATCCAAGTTTTACTAGGCCAAGAGTGCATGAACATTATACAACTCTATGTCCAAAATAATTTGACTAACTGTCTAACTTCAAAATAATCAAAATTTAAAATACAACTGGCTAGCCTTCTAGCTTGTCACTCCCCCTGGTTTCCCCCATCTCTGGTCTCGCTACCTAAAATGGTGAACGAGGAAAAAAAACAATATGAGATAACTTAGTAAGTAAAAATATGGATAGCTCTTAATTAAAGTTTTAGCACACCAACAAATATAATAAGTATCAAGAAAAACCGGTACAAGTACGGGAATGAAATAGATGTCTCCTCTATAGGTCATGGCCAGCATTTATAAACCTCCCACTATTGGGCACAGTAATAACCAATGTACTATCCCACTAGTAGGTATAATAGGACAAACCGATTTTCAGGAATACATGTCGACATGTGCGTAAACCTCCCACTAACGGGTATAATGAAACATGACTATATTGGAGACTAAACTAGGCAGGAG